CCCCCCCCCCCACCCCCGCGCGCGACGGGGCGCAGCGCCGCACAACGAGGCTCAGCTGGGTGAGGAGGCGGGAGTGGGACGCAGGGAGGTGGAGGGAAGGAGGAGGAGAAAGCGTCGCGGGGTCCTGGCACCCGCCGGATAGCTTTTTTTTTTTTTTTTGCCTCGGCCGGCCGCGCCTGCGCAGAACGGGCCCCGCCGCTGCGTCAAAACCCCGGCCGGCGCTGTAGAGTTGAGCGTGGATTACGCTCCGCCCTTTACGTGCGGTTTCCCCCTACGCGGCGTCAGTATATGTTTTAATTTTAGACGGCCCGTGTTGGTTTTGTGTTCTTCGCCCAGGGGAAGCCGGCCAAAAGAGAGCCGGTCGGCTGTAGCAATAGAATCAGAGAATCACCGCGTTGGAAGTGACCTTGGAGGTCATCTAGTCCAACCCCCTGCTCATAGAATCATTGATTGGATGGATGGGTTGATATCGGTCATAGTCCCCATGTGTGAAAGAAATTGAACTGAATAAAAAAAAAAATTAAACAAGGCTGACAAAATATCAAATCAACATCAATTTGACTACCATCCAGATCTAATAACAGTTCAATTTCATAATAAATAGGATGAATTTATAATTGACTTAATGATTGCTGATAATTTACATAACTGAATGATATAATTTAACTTGATTCTTTAATTGTTCTTAAATACGAATGCATGCGTTGTTCATGTATGGTTAATATTAAATACTAGGCGTATTCGTTTATGATTAATATTAATTTGATTCATTAAATTATTGTGCATATTAATCACTCATAACAATTCTAGAATTAAATTATTGAATATTAGGTGTATTTATTAATCATAAATGAATATCCTGCATATTTGATAATTTAACACGAAGAGTGTTACTGTACTATTTGTGTATTAAATTAAATGGTTCAATATTATTTAATTAGTATTACTGTTCATGGATTATTAAAGTATTAAATATTTAATAATTTAATTTAATAATACATGGATAGTGCTAATTAAACAATATTTAACAATTTAATGAATAGTAATATTCATGTATTAAATTAAATATTATAAATGCTATGAATATATTAAATGATTTAATTATATTTAAATTCTATTTAATCTTTGATTAAATTTAATAAACAAAGTTTTTTACTAAATAAATATTAAATCGCTACTAAATAAGTATTAAATATATGAAGTGGGTGAGCGTGGGGAGGGGAACAACCCCCATCCCAATTCTGGTAGAGCTCATCTCCAAACCCCTCTTGCAAGCCACACCCCTCTTCTCATCGTAGATGGAGAGCCAGAGCCAGAAGCCTCAATGTGGTTACACCAGAAGCTGTCCTCTTGGGGGAGGACTGTGGTGCAGCGAGAAAGAAGGACCCCTTCCAGCCACTGGCTACAGCTCCACCATCGAACGGAGGGGAAATTGCAGAAGGGGAGGTCTGAGGAGAACCTAATTTTCCTGCAATTCATGGTTAAGCAGAGGTGGGCTTCACATAATTTAACAAGCGGTTTGCCCAGTGCAGAACCGAAAATGTGAGCACACGGCTTCCAGCACACCACCTTGGGCAGCCACGGTGAGAGCAGGTGAGGGGCAGAAATCAGCTGGGCTGCATGGGTGGGGTGAGCAAGCCAGAGAATGAGATATATAGGACGGGACAGCACTGGGGCGAGTGGGCGGGCCCAGCTGGTGGTTGGAACAACCGGTTCGGGCAAACCAGTCGGAACTGGCAGCAGCCCACTTCTGCTGAGTACCCGCTTTTCCTACCTCTGAGTTACCCCCTTTTGCATCCTGCAAAATCCTTCAGTACCTACAGGCAGTCCTTACAGACTTACAACCGCTCGTTTAGTGACCGTTCAAAGTTATGACAGCCCCGAAACGACTTACGACCATGTTTCACACTGACAACCGAAGTCATGTCATCCAAATTCAGACTCTTCGCCATGGGGTCGCATTTACGATGGTCGCAGTGTCCCTGGAGTGGGGCACCCGATCCCCCTTTTGCAACCCTCCGACGAGCAAAGAGCCAACAGGGAAGCCAGATTTGCTTCCCAATCGTGTCCCTAACTGAACGACTTTGGTGATTCGCTTAACGATGGCGAAGAGGAAGGTCGCCCAAGGGGGCCAAACTCATTGAAAACCTGTCTTGTTGAGCCACAGAAATCGAAGGCCCAATTGTGTCTGTAAGTTGGGTCTTCACATCATGTGTCCGAATAATTTTAGCCACACGTTCCTTGGATTTTATTCTTCAATGATACCTTAATTTGTTTTCTGGATTTTTCGCCAGTATATCAAAAGCCCAAAATATTTTTCCTGTCAGCTTCTTACCAACGCATTGCAGGATAAAATATGGGGAGCGTGCAGGGGTGGGATTCAACCAGTGTAACAACCAGTTTGGTGAGTGCACACGCACAGCGTTTGCAACTCACTTTCTGCTGCAAGCTCTATGTGTAAAAACAGCTGATCTTCGGAGCTACCGGTTCCCTCGAACCGGGCTGAACCGATAGAATCCCACCCCCAATTGTGTGAATTGACCTGCAACTTTGTCCATCTCAACACCCTTGATTAATTAAAAAGCAGCAATTCAGCTTTGCAGAAGGATTGTTTATAATAATATTTGTAACATATAATCTGATTTATCGGTTCGATTGAATTTTATTTCCTTTATTTCATCACATAATTAGGAACTGCGCATCTCCCTCATAGAAACAGTCTGAGCAATGTACAATTACATGTACAATACACAATGACAATGCAGGGAGGCCTTGACTTACAATTCATTTAGTGACTGTTCCAAGAGTGGTGTGATGGCCTAGAGGTGGAACCTCTCGCCTCACCATCAGGAGGCTATGAGTTTGATCCTAGATAGAAGCAGATATTTCTCTCTCTGGGCACATTGAGAATATATCTGCCAAACAAAAACTCCGCATTGGCAACAGGAAGGGCATCCAGCCAGTAAAGACTCTGCTAGCTCCATTCAGCTGCCCAGACTCCACCCCTCAAGGGATTATGGGGTCTTTACACAAGGATGATTTCATGACCGTTTAAAATGTCAACGGCCCTGAAAAAAAGACTGTCTTTGGACCAGTTTTTCACACTTACGACTGTTGTAGCATCCCGCGTTGATGTAATCAAAATTCAGATATTTTGACAGCTGACTCATCTTTTATGACAGGTTGCAGCGTCCTGGGGACACACTTAATGACCATTGTGGCATCCCTGCATTGACGTAATCAAAATTCAGACAACTGACTCATTTTTATGACGGTCACTTCCGACCAGCAACAGTCAATGGGGAAGCCCGATTCACTGAACAACCGTATTAAGGGCTGCAGGGATTTGCTTAACGACAGTGCTAAAATAGGCACAGCTCACTGAACAAGTATTTGGCTTAGCTACAGAGAGGTTGAGCTAGATTGTGGTCATATGATGAGGACTCGACCAGTTTAGGCACGAGGAATAAAGCAGCTAAAAATCAGGATCAGGCTGGTGGCCATTTTGACTTTTTTGACCCAATCCGCACCTTGGTCTCAGCAAAGCTCAAGGAATCGGTTACGTAAGAAGAGATTGGTCCAGAATGGGATAGGGTCTCCTGCTTGAGCAGGGGGTTGGACTAGAAGACCTCCAAGGTCCCTTCCCACTCCATGGGTCTTAAGCTCCAGATCTGGCCTTCTGTCTCCAGTACTGGGGATCAAGGATGTGACTAATTACAGTCTTGTGCTTGGTTCAAGATGGCTGCCTAAACTCTACTCCCTGGCCGCCACCCTCTCATCTGGTTCTCCCTCGGGTTCTGCTGAACGGTTTATGGGGGATACGTCTCTTGTCCAAGTCCAGGTTCAACATCGTCTGCTCAAACCCCGATTTGACCCCGTTGGCCATGCCTGTTCATCCGAGTGGGGTGTTCCTCCAGCCAGATTGCCTCCCCCTCATGCAGGCACTGGTGTCCCACCAAATGCTGCTTGCGGGTGAAGCTCTTCAGGCAGAGCGGGCACTGGTAGGGCCACTTGCCCGTGTAGAGCCGACCGTGGGTGGCGAGATGCTCCTTACGGATGAACGTCTTCCCACACTCCCCGCAGGTGTACGGCTGCTCCCTGGTGTGGATCATCTGGTGCCGTAAGAAATTTGAGTGGCGGTTGAACGTCCGGCTGCACTGGCCGCAGATGTAGCAGACGGGTTTTTTGGCAACCATGTGAGTACGCTCATGAAGGTGCAGGTTGATCTTCAGTCGGAAAGTCTTCTTGCACTCGGTGCAAGTGTGCGGCCGATCACCCATGTGCCAGAGGCAGTGTTTGCTCAGGCTGGCCTGGTGGGGGAACCAGCGCCCGCAATCCAGACAGGTATATGCCCTGACTTCTGGCTAGGGATGTTGTGCGGGAGTGTCCCCGTGGTCAGGAGAGACTTGGAGATGGGATTGCTGGTACAAGGTGCATTGCTCCTCCTACAAGAAGCTCCTACCACTATCAGGACACACGTACAGTGCTTCACTGGGAATTACCCCTTCCTGAACGACGAAGGTGGTGAAATTTGTGACGTCTCCTCCAGACTCAGTCAACAGTTGCAGTGCACCCGTCCGGCCGTCCACTGGCACCAAGCCCTCCTCTGAGGAGGGCGATACATCCTGCTCTGAAGACACAGGCAAGGGGCTGAATTGACCCAGGTTTCCAGGCTCTGTCAGCCATGGTGGACATCGGCAAGAGGACAGCAGCTTCTAGAATCAGAAAACAAAGCATTTGGGAATGCTTTTGGAATTGTTGCCCGTGAAAATGGGTTCCCTGCAAATTACCTGCTCTGTCTTGTTGGATGTCTTCTGCTTCGCCAGAGGGCCATTGGTGCTTGCCACTTAAAGGTGCCCCACCTTCCATTGGGGATAA